ATCCGCCTTGCCACTTATATAGAAAAATCACTATCATTCCCTCCAGATGTTTTCATGATCCTTCTAAGTTTAGAGAATATCGTTAATCTTCCTATCCTATCCATATAATCCTATTCCTTAACGTAAATCTCTATCTTGTGGCCCTCAAGGGCTTATACAGGGTGAACTTTATTGTAAAAAACAAAAACAAAAAAAAAATAGAAAAAACAGAAAAAGAAGCTCATTTTATTACAAAGTTTAAAAGTATTTAAAACCCAGTAAGGATAGAACTATTTGCGAGAAAACTTATTAACTATTTCAATGTACACTTTCTTGATTTTAAGTTACGCACAACTCGTGTTTCTCGATTGAAATTGCCTAAAAGTCAAGAAGCAGGTAAAACATTGAAAGGCTAACAAATTCAATCACATCTCACAGTTAGCAAACTGACCTGTGAGAAGACCATTGAATATGTTTCAAGTGAATGAAGAGAGAGTTACCTTTCCAGTTAAAGACTTTGAAGTGGTAACAAAAACGCCAGAGGTCGTTTATATGCAGGAAACGTTAAATGCTTTGATCTTTTCAAAAGAAATACTTCGACATTGGAAGTGATGTTTCTTGCAGTAGAGAAGATTTGTATCGCGCCTAGAAAACATTTCTTATAAGGAGGCCATTGTTTGAGACTTTTCTAAACAACTCAAAGGAAGTAGACAGAAACAGAATCCTGGGAAATGTGTCTGGAACGACAAAAATGGAAATTGAATAAATGAGGGAAATAAAGTTAGGGAGAAAAGTAATAGAAAGGAGAAAAATCGAACGAAGTTACAAAACCAAGAGGGAGTTAGAGAGAGAAATAGGAAGGAGTTGACAGAAAGCAAGCCATGATTTACGAGTAAAAGAAAAAGAGTTTCTAAGAATGTAAACAATGCAAGATGAGGATATGATGCAATAAAACGTGCAAACTAGAACGACGTGAAATACGTGAATTTGCGAAACAAAGAGACGAGAGAAGAGAGCGACTGTGTGTGAAAAATCAAAAAGCCAAGTTTTCGAATACAAAATCTGACTCATGGCCGAGTTATTTCCTTCGGGTAATAGTATTCAAGTCAAGAAATTTGGGCAGAAATTTCGAATGCCGAATTTCAATTCACACAGGCCCTTATCAAATGAACTGGCACTTCAAAAAATATTTAATTTTATTTTTTAACTCCATTCGCTTTCACTATTGCACTTAGCTATGCAGATCAACTACCTATCTTGTAAACTAGAAACACGTCCCCCCTCTCTCGCTACGTATTCAGCTAGAAACACGTCTCCCCCCTGTCTCGCTACGTATTCAGCTTTAAACACGTCCCCCTGTCTCGCTACGTATTCAGCTAGAAACACGTCCCCCCCTGTCTCGCTACGTATTCAGCTAGAAACACGTCCCCCTGTCTCGCTACGTATTCAGCTAGAAACACGTCCCCCCCTGTCTCGCTACGTATTCAGCTAGAAACACCCATTTTCCCTGCGTATTTAGCTATAGACACGACCTGTCTCGTTATATGTTCAAGTATAAATTATTTCTAGGTTGACTGACTGAACTTTTAACTATTTTAGATCTTATAGTCGACATAATATAACCCAACAAAAGATGTGTCATCAAATTAAACCACCAACCTTAGAAGGTAAATATGTAAAACAGTCGCGAAGAAGAAGAAAAAATTTAAGTAATTTGTCAACGAAAAACTTAATAAATAATTAATAAAAAATGTAGAAATTAAATAAGAGAAATCGGCAAAAAAATTGTTAAAAAATAAAGTGAAACTTTTTGCAATGTTACAAAAAGATTAAGAGGTTAAATATAACAGACAAAATTCTTGACTGCAGACGTTCAAAGACGAGAAAATGGAATTAAGTTGTGCGTCACACATTGTCGCTGATCGATTTAAAATGTAGTCATCGATTTTATAGTCATTTTCCTAGTGTAAAATTAAAAAGAAGAATTGTCATTCTAATCTATGGAACTTAAATATCAATGAGTCGAGGGAAACAGAATGTAAAAGTAAAAATGATTGAATTTATTAGCATTAAGAAAATGGATATTTTGCAGGATATTCTAAACGTGAGGCCATGACGGTTGTACTCCGTTGAAGTGTGAACACAATAGTGACATTTTTCTTTGGTAAATTATACTTCTAAGTCTTCTATAAAGGCGGTAATGGATGTTGCTTGGAAAGAGAGAAAATATCCTGGATTTCATTACTCTCCACGGTCCACATTAAGTCTTAATTCGGCATTGATTTATTATCACCTACAACAACACACACACAAAAAAGGAAGAGACTAAATCAAAGAATTTAATTCTAAAAATGAATTGTGATTGAAAACATGTTATATATAGAACGAGAAAATAAAATTATTTCGGGCAAAATATTATATCCAAACATTGAGTATTGTTGCCATATCTGGGTTGGAGACTCCAGAATCCATTCTTGTAAGCCTCGTGAGTGTTCAAAACCGTTTATATGGCCTTATAGACGATTAATTGGCTTCAACCGCTCAACCTTTTTGTACATAGGCGCGACGTCGCAAACCTATTACTACTCCATTCTACATTCTCTAGTTCCCTCTGTTCAGATATTTACAGCTAAGATCCCTGATACTATATGCACACGGTTGATAGTTTGGTTTGTTTTGTTTTACGGTATATCAACTCCTCAATGGGTCATTTAATGCCGAAAACATCTTTTTTCTGGTAATATTTTTGTTTTGTCAAAAATCTATTTCTGTTAATATTTTTTCCTCAAAAATGTATAGCTGGTAATATTTTTTTTCAAAAACGTATAGCTGGTAATATTTTTTTTCAAAAACGTATAGCTGGTAATATTTTTTTTCAAAAATGTATTGCTTATAATAGTTTTTCTTCAAAAACATATCGCTGGTAACACTTTCTTCAAAAATTTATTTCTTGTAATAATTTTTAGAAAAGGTTTTCTGGTATTAAAACCTATTTTTACACTTTTATAATACCTTTTACCTCAGTTTCTGGGTTAACTGTTTGCCCATAGCTTGGACCCTAACAGGTTCTACCACCCCGGGTCAGGGTGGACCTGGGAACATCAGCAATTTAGAGGTGGTTCCACGCTCTTCTAAACCTCCTGATCAGAGGCCTTGCTGTTGGACGTAGTTTATCGTCTTACACTGGACGCGGGTGTAATTTATCGTCATACCCAGGACGCCCCATTGCGGGGCACACGGTTGAACCATCACCATTCTCTTCTTATTCCGTCTATGTTTCTGAGACGTGTTATTGTAAAGATTTACATTATTCCGACTGCTCTCATCTTTATTGTCATAGTCACGGCGTTTCGGCCGTTGTACGCCAGGGCCTTCATCAGATGATATGCGTTGAAGTTTCGATCCAAACCCTTTATTTCGTTCACTGGGTAAAACTGTTCTAGTCTTATGTACCATGCCTTTTCTTGATATCTTAGTTTCAGTTATTTCCCTTTAGTAACTCCACTCTCCAATTTTGTTGTTCACGCTGCCCGGTATTTAACTCGCAACATTTTTGGGTCAAGTCACTGAATTACTTAACCAACGCTTTCATCCTCTGGGCCGTATGTCGTTCGTATTCCATTTGTAAATAGTAAGCTCCATTCGGAGAGCTTCCCTAGAGCTGCAGCTTTGTGGAAAATGCTCTTAAAATGATGCTTCCCCGATTACTAAAATGTTAATCACTTCAATTCTAAGACAACCGTTATTATCCTTTATATCCTCATAATTTACAATACATACGCCCATGAAACAACCCCCAATTCTGTAATATTCTACCTTGGGTGGCTCTTGGGCCTTGTAATGGGTGAACAATAGATAAGACAAACACGTTTATTTATTACGTTTTATACTACACAGACAAATTACACTGAAAGGACAAATATGAAGAAAGTCTTACTGTTAATGAATTTAGAACGGACACGCTTTGCTTTGTCTAGTTATTCTAAACGCTGTTGACTACCAGATCTGTCTACACCGGGATCTAATCAGCAATGACTATCTCCAATCAGGGTCTGTCGTCACATTTGGTTGTCACAGCCTTAAAAAGGGAGATATGTGCCTTCTGCATTCGTACAGAGATAAGTTATATATATAAATAAAAAAAAAGAAAAAAAAAAAGATGGCATATATTTATATAACACGCCTTTTTTTTTTAGTTTGACCTTATATACTATACTGACTTCTAAGTGTGAAGGTCATATTTGGGAGGTCAACATTGATATTTACGATTCTTCTCAGTGCATATTACAAGTCGCAAAGTGTCGTATTCTTAAGGCGACCAATAAAAGAATCTGTAAAAACGTATGAAAATAATAGCATTTAATTAATTTTTGCATAACATCCTCTAAGTTTTCTTACTTTTTGTTAAAAAACAATTATAGTTTTTACAAAGTAAATTTGTATACGTTTGTTGGAAAGAGGAAGATAGTATCTTTCTAATTTCAAATAAATAAAAATCACTCCACAAGTAGAAAGGCGATGAAGTCCTTAATACGCAAATGTCTACTAAAAATGAAGCAAAGTTAAAATAAAACCTTACTGAGAAAGAAAGGACAATAAAAGAACAAGGAGACAAAACATGAATAATGTTTCATTTCAATTTTTGAAGATCTTAATTTATAGAAAAGCAAAAAGAATTCGTGTTTTATTTTTTTTCTTCAAGAGATTTTTATTTTAAGACCTTCAGCACCAAGGAAGAAATGAAAGTTAATTAAACGCACAAATATAAAAACAAAATACAATTTGAATAAATATATAAAGAAGACATAACCTTAATTAGAAAACTTAGCATTCCACTAATGAAAATATACGCATAACAACAGCTAATAGTCACAGAGTGTTTATAGATTAAAAAAATGGAGTATAGGCGTATGTAAGAGTGTATAGCGTTTAATTTGAATATTGGTGGGAAAAACATGATGGTCAGGTTGATGAGAATATGAAGTTTTTTGTTATGAATTATTAATTCGTATGACAGAAAGTTAAATATTTATTAAAATGAAAATATAATGAAAAAAAAAAAAAAAAAAATAAAAGGAAGAATGAGAAGAAAAAATAAAATGTAAATAGGGAAGCATTCGGAGAGAGAGAGAGAGAGAGAGAGAGAGAGAGAGAGAGAGAGAGAAATGCAGGAAGACAAAGAAAGAAAAATCAGAAAATCGGTCTGAGGAGGGAGAGTAAAAGAGAGAAAATGTAAGAAGAGAGAGAAAAGAGGAGAAAAGAGGAAAACAGGGATGAAGAAAGAAAGAAAGTGGTACGGGCAGAGAGGAAGAGAAACAGAGATGGGGATGAGCAAGTGGAAGGGGACACAGATGTGGGACGAGGAAGACATACAGATGGAGGGAGAGAGAAGCAGAGATGGGGAGAGGAGGAAACAGATTGGGGGTCGGAAGGAAGAAGAAACAGAGATTGGGGGTCGGAAGGAAGAAGAAACAGAGATTGGGGGAGGAAGGAAGAAGAAACAGAATTGGGGGAAAGGAAGAAGAAACAGAGGGGGGAGGAAGGAAGAAGAAACAGAGATTGGGGGAGGAAGGAAGAAGAAACAGAGATTGGGGGAGGAAGGAAGAAGAAACAGAGATTGGGGGGAGGAAGGAAGAAGAAACAGAGATTGGGGGAGGAAGAAGAAACAGAGAAGGGGGAGGAAGAAGAAACAGAGAAGGGGAGGAAGAAGAAACAGAGAGGGGGGGAAGGAAAAAAAGAGAAGGGAGGAAGAAGAAACAGAGAAGGGGGAAGGAAGAAAAAACAGAGATTGGCGGGGAAGGAAGAAGAAACAGATGGGGATGAGGAGGCGGAAGAAATAGATATGGGGATAATGAGGAGGAATTAGAAATGGGGAGGAAACGCAGAAATAGATGGTGTTGAAGAGATGGAAAGAAGGAAGAAACGAAATAAATAGATGTCAAGGTGGAGGAAAAAAAAAGATGAAGATATTTGGAATAGGAGGAAACAAAAGTCATATGTTTATTGACAGAAAACAAGAGAAAGGAATTTGTAAAGAATTATGGTCGCTTCTGTCTGTAAATGACATTCAAAATGGATGCAACTGGAATTCAATGATCGTTTGAAATATAAACGCAAACCCTTTAGGATAGGTACCTCCACGAGATCGCTAAAAAAGAGTATAGCATGATGAAAAAGACGCCAAACTTGACGAAAACAAAATTTTATCGTCTAAATCTTTGTTATTATTAAGAGGAAAGGTCAAAGTATTTTTGAGGTATTTTTTTCCATTTTTTAATCGTTCCTAGTGTTAGACATTTTCATGACGGTCGTCCTCGAGTATAGAATCTAGAGGTTGGCAGTGAATATTTCGGAGACAGTAGGAAAGCGTAGTGGAGGTTCGCAGTGGATATCACAGCAGAGTGTAGTTCATCCTTCTCCTGGTCGCCTTTGGTCCTTCCGGTAGGAGGAAACAAGATGGCCGCCTTTATACACGACGAATACAGTGTTGGGCGGCTTCTGATTGGTCAACCTTCTATTGATCGACTATAAAGGGAAATAAGTCATTCTGACTCGCTCACTAGCTATAGGTATATATCCCCCCCCCAGTTTTGGAGGATTATTTTTTATTGAACGATTCTGGTGAAAATCAAGTGGACGAACGGTTAAGTTTTTGATTTTGCTAAAAACCTTTTTTTCAACTTTACTTTGGCTTGATTTGTTTGCTTTTTATTTTTGTTTGTTTTTATTTGTTTTCTTTTATTTTTGATTTCCTTTTATTTCATTGCTTTCTTCTCTACTGTTTTTTCACCCTCCCCACTGTTTTTGTTTGTATTGTGTTTGTTTGTTTGAATTAATTTTTTGTTGTCCCTGTTTTCCGTTTTTCTTTTGGTTTGTGTTCGTCAGGACAAGGAGCATAAAGGACTAAACGTTCGTTTGGTCGCGGTCAAAATGACCGACGACTCAAACACAATCATGTCTTCACCTGACATGGCACCATCAGCGTCAGGAGAGAATAATGCCTGGGCCAATAATAGGCCGACTATGAAAGACCCAGAATATTATGTGGGTCAAAACCACAAATTCAAAAGCTCCTTTAACGGGAATGACTTCCTAACTATAGAGGAGAATTTGAAGCAGTAAAGACCAGAACAATATCCCTGCTGACTTCCGATATTAAGACTCGGAAGCTCATTGGTGTCAGCAGGGACATAATGGAGGAGAGTCTAAAAACTCTTAAAATATGCCCAAAGGTCCTGGCAAGAAGGACAAATGCCTTGTGGGACATTCTCTTACAGAATGAACAGGAGGCGAAAGAGCTAGCCGGCAAAATTTTGAACACCAAATCTCTCCGCCTCCAAACGGAGTATCTAGGCACCCGAAAGACGAAGGTGACTGTACATGGGGTGCCGACAGATATATGCCCTGACAGGATGGGAGCTTTTTTTACAAGATTCGGAGAAGTCAACAGCGTGGAGGTCCTTAGGAGCAAGACGGGTATTGCTACCGGGGATATGGAGGTATATATAACCGTGGACCGGGATAACTTCCGTGACATGCCGAATATTCTGACATGCCGGACGAGAAGAATGCTGGTGGTCGTTGAGGGACGTAAGCCATACTGTTGGGCTTGCGGAGTCTTGGGGCATATGGCAAAGGCGTGCCCCGGGAAAACAGCCTCCAGCAGTTCAACCTCCAGCACGACCGGTTGTGGCGGAGGAAGCAGCAGCAGTGGCAGCATCTCAATCTGGGGAAGGGACTTCCAAAAGTGGTGACTGGAAGGAGGTTTCCAGAGGGCGGAAGCCTGCAGATGACGGAGGAAAAACTCCAGCAGCAGAAACAAGAACAGCAGCAGAAACAGAAACAACATAGAGAGAAGGAGGAGAAACTCCCCAAAAGACAGCAGCTGTAACAACAGCAGCAACAACAGAGTCAGAATAAAGAAGAGGAGAAACGCCAACAAAAGAAACCTCAGCAAAAGGAACAAGAGGAGATGGCCATGGAAGTGGAGAGCATGCCTCTACCTCGTGCTGCCTCCTTGAAGAGGTGCAGAGAGGAGGAGGAGGAAGAAGAAGAAAAACAAGAAAGTGGTTGTGGCAGGGCGGAGCGCAGCGTGGACATAACCAGGCGGCGCTCCTTCCCTGCGTCACCGATTAGATCGCCTGACTCTCCCAGCAGTAGGAGCTTCCCTTCCTCCCCTTCCCGTGCTATATCCCCCTCTCCCTCCACCTCATCCCTAAAAACTCTGGACACACCACCCCATACGTCCACCTCCTCCCCTCCCCATCCGGCTAGGGAGAAGAAGAAAAAAAAGAAAATGTTTGAGGGCCCCGAGTCAATCTGCAAGGTGGACAAAGAGGAATATAAAAGGGGCTTATCCAAACAAAGGAAGGCCCTGTTGGGGGTTTTGTATAAGATGTCGGAGGTGGACGGCAAGAGTGTCGAAGACCACCGGAACTTTCCAAAGGCTCCAGGTGTAATTACCTGTGTCAGGGACACGGGTGGTTACCTGAAAGTGTGGAGCCACATATTTGAGGCCAAGGAGGCCTTTCCGGACTTGAGGGTGTGCGAGTTGGACAACCTCAACTTGAAGAAATTAAGAAACTTTTGTTCTGAGAGGGTCCCTGTTTTGGTTCACCCCTCCTTATATAGGGCAATTAAACTAATGTACCAACGGACGTCGGCGGCATTGTCTCGGACGGTCGTATGACGATGGAATTGGGTACTGGTAGTCTGGGACAATCCGTCGGGGTCCTGCTCAACACAGATTTCCGCCCCGTATGTGACTAAGGTTTTTGCACTAATTCTTCTCTTTTTTGCAGGCCTAAAAAATGGAAACCAAGTTAGCGACTCTGAATGTGAGGGGCTTAAGGGATTGGGGTAAGGCTGCCCGCCTGCTCCGGGACCTTCTGTCCCTGGATGTGGATGTCGCCGCGATCGAAGTGACCCACTTTGTTTGCAGTGCCGATGCGTGTGTGCTGGAGGATGACTTTGTTGTCTATTCATCATATGGGGACCGGTTTGCCAGAGGAGTTTCATTGCTAGTCAGACGGACTCTTGATGCGAAGGTGGACCTTGTGCATACCGATGCCGAGGGCCGGTTGATCGTGGCCGATATTGCCGTGAAAAGTGGTTCGTTCCGAGTCGTTGCGGTTTATGCGCCCAATGACCAGGAGGAGCGGGTTTCGTTTTTTCGGCGGTTGGGGTCGTTCCTGGTTGATTCAACGCGCCTAGTTTTAATGGGGGACTGGAATGCCATTCTGGACCCCGACTTAGACAGGGGCAGGGGGTGCTAGTGGGAGAAGGGACGATCGTAGCCTGGATGATCTGATCGACGATTATGATCTCGTCGATAGATACCGGGTCGATCATTCCGGGGAAACATGTGGACGTGGGCTCTTAGTTGGCCTTCTGAAAGGTGGTTAGCTACCTTGACAGAATGTTAGTGAGAAGAGCCGACATAGATCTGCTAGATTGCCCTACGTTCCACTGGGTAGGCTACACGGACCACAAACTTGTTTGTGCCCGTGTAGCGTTAGATCATAGGCCTAGAATGGCTGGGTACTGGAAGTTCAATCTGTCTTTACTGGACAGGCGGGACTTCCAGGAACAGCTAACTAGATTAGTGCAGCAGGAGCTATGGGGGGCGGTTATCGGGAATAAGTGGTGGGAACGCCTTAAGTCTAGGATTAGGTCTTTCACCACTGATTCAGCAAACGGCTCGCTCTAGATAGAGCTGATAAGGTGAAGACACTTAAAGCTAGTTACACCCGGGCGGTGGCTGGGGGGGGATCCCCTAGAGATAGCCTTAGTTAGGGCGGCCCTGGATCGTTTGAATAGCGAGCGGTACATGGGCCAGGTAATTAGACATAAGTTAAGTAAGATGTCTTCCGAAGCCGTGAACATGGGCGCAGATCTGCGCAGGGAAGAGGTCCGTCGAGGTGGCGATCGTTTCATTCGTGAAGTCAAATCCCCGGAGGAGCACACTCTTCGGGCGACTGACGACATGTGCGAGGCGTTTCGGCGCCATTTCGAGAACCGGTTTACCAAGGAGCCTGGTCTCCGTGAGGAGAAGTTTCGCAGCTATTTGGCTGACTTTCCTCGGCTTTCGCCGACTGAAGCGGCTACCTGCGAGGGAGAGATCACGGAGGGCGAAGTCTACGCGGTATTGAAGAAGGTCGGCAGAGGCAAGTCGCCCGGTCTGGATGGTTTGCCCTATAAATTGTACTTGAGGCTGTCGCACATCTTTGTTCCGATTTTGACAGCAGTGTTCAACAACTGGTTTCGGTCGGGGTCCATCCCCGATCGGATCACCAGGGGCGTGATCACTCTGTTGAAAAAGGGCAAAGGTGGTGGGGGGAAGCTAGATGATTACAGGCCTATAACTCTGCTAAACACAGAGTTAAAGATTATGGCCAAGATCCTGCAGGAGCGTTTGCAGTCAGTTGCCGAGTCTCTGTTGGGACCTGAGCAGACTTGTTCTGTGAGGGGCCGAACAATTCAGAGCAACCTGCATCTGATCCGCACGATCATAGAGGGTGTAAAAGACGACGAAGAAGCCGCGCTGATCAATTTGGATCAGTCCAAGGCATTTGATAGGGTTGACCATCGCTACCTTGCTACTGTCCTGCAGGCCGCTGGATTCGAACCCAACTTCTGCCGCTGGATTAGCCTCCTGTATCGCTCCCCCAGTGCTGTGGTACAGATGAACGGAAGGTTGTCGGACGCGTTCGTGCTGTCTAGGTCGGTTCGTCAGGGTTGTCCGCTGTCGCCTCTCCTGTATGCTTTGGCGTTGGAGCCTCTCCTTCGCCGGCTGAAGGACGAGACCGGCAGTCCGGCCCTACGTGGAATTGCCGTGCTTGGAGGGTCTCGAGCCAGGGTTTCCGTGTACGCCGATGACGTATCTGCTTTCGTGTCGCCCCGCAGCGACATTGAGGCGGTACAGAGGGCGCTTGATCGGTACGAGAAGGTGACAGGGGCCAAGATAAATCGCGACAAGTCGTCCGGCTTGCGGTTA